CAACAAATCAGACGTCTAACTGGCAGTATGCGGCGCAGGGTTGCAGCAGTCATCCAGGCAAACGGTGGATATACCCGATATTGACTTTTTGTAATGTGATTTGACAATTCAATAACGTTTTTGAGCTTTCACTGACAATACTTATTAAAGATAATTTTAAGCGTGAAAACTGTCCATATTTTGATGTCATGATATGTAAATTAAAAATTGTTATTTTACGGTGATAATCTTGTTTTCTTGTGCCCAATAATGCATAATTTCAATTGATAAACACGTTTAGATTGAATGGTAATTTACAATCAGTCACAAGAACGTCGAATCTGAATCACTTGAAAAAAACACGGGGGTGCTTAACTTTTTTCCTGGTGTATAGAAAGAGGTTGGAACAGTCCTGACTGAATGTATCTACAACCAGAACCAATGGATGCAAAACAGGAGGCTAGCAAAGGGGAAGTTTGGCATTGTGATATATAGCAAAGGCATCAATAATAGAGGTGTCAAGATGAAAGCAAAGCCACTGGAAAACATGAGGATTCAAGGGCCACTCTGTGAAAAAAATCTTGTTGGGCCTCAAGAGATGAACAGCAACAAGATTTAGGGTACCTGGAACATGAGAAACCACCAGATGTACTTGTTGGTAACGGAATCAGAAGAGAAGGCATGAGCGTGGAAACAAATTGTGAGACCAAGTACCCATACATGCACCAGATCAAGTCAAGATAAAAATTATTCAATATGAACTAGAATATTTTGAGAGCAAGGAAAAACATAAAAATCAGAAGCAGGGACTGAATTAAGAAGTGAAGGAAAAGAATAAAAATCAGGAGATATAAAAAAGTAAGTACCTAAGAAACCATGTCTCAAAATTGCATAAAAGGGCCTAGGTAAATCCACAATGGGTAGAATATTTGGCAAAGGTATGTAGTGTGCAAAAACTGTCAAAATGCCCTTTGTCATGAATGGGGTACATAGAAGGATGTATATCAAGTTCAGAAGAAAGTGCAGGCCATATGAAAGACTCCATTTCCTGTCACACAAAAGCCATCATTTCCTCAACAGACAGACAAACCCTACGACATTTTAGTTGCTAGTCCACTGTAAACAATGTCTTATTGTCCCACATCAGGCAAAGTGGAAGTTACTTTCACTTGGGAATTAATAATGTAGAAATAAAAGACCACAACATCTGCAGATGCAGAAAAGTTGAAAAATGAAAATCCTAATTTAATATTTCCACAACAGTTGGTGCTTTTGTAGATAATTCCAACAAACTCTCAAAAGCTCATGAGCAAAAAAAAATATATGTTTTTACAGAAAACCAAACTGAAAAGTGATGACTGAACAATCAGTACAGAGGAAGTCAGCTGTACTAGGAGGGTGTGTTACACTCCTATTGGTGGAGGGTTGTCTCGTGCTCATTTGCATGCAACAGCACAGAAGTATCACGTGGAAACACTTTATTTTAGGTAGGAGTTTCAAGGCTAGTGACAAGCAAAAAAATTTGCATATAGAGGGCAGCACTGAATTCTGAAGCTATATGTGAGGTTATATATTGTACTGGAATTCAAAAGAATGGTTGTAAGCTTCATATAGAGTAGAATTTGCTCTTTCTATTCATTATAACCTTGTCCATTATTCATGTAAAGTTTATTGGAAAACTACTGAAAGTCACAGAGAGGGAGGGGCTTCTCTGGTAGGTTTGTCAAATTTATTGATATCTCGACAATTCAATAAGGTAAAAGGTTGAAACTTTACATTCTCGCTTGTAATTATGTATAGTTTGTACTTCTAATTGGTTCGAAACTGCAGCAAACTTTTAGAAACTAGAATATTCTAAAATAAAAAAATCAGAGCTCAGACTTATCACATGACACAGAAAAATTAAGTTATCAAGAAGTTAAAACGTAAGTAACAAAAAATTAGAAATATAAACTAGTTTTCACACCATGTTTATTCACATACATTGATATTAAAGTTATTTAGTTAATTTTTGAGTATAATACTGTAAATTGTTAAAGGTCATGACATGCACACTTTGAACTTTCAACAAAACTGGTCACTAAACAGTTAACTCATAGAGCACATTTTTTTATAGTTCACATTTACATGAGATGTTACATACGTTTTTTTCATTAACTGAAATTGCATTGTTTTGAGATTTCTGAAGAATGTACTGATTTATGTTGTTTGCATATCCTTTGAATGTTTTCTGAAAGAACTTCAACATAGGGGAATATCATGAGCCTGAAATTTTCTTATGCTTTTTCTTGGCATTCCTTACTTTTTCTTTTGGTTCCAAGGAGCAGTTTTTTTCCGCTACAATAGTGTTATAGTGAAATTTACATTTCATAGTCTTCTGAACTGTTGATCCCACTTTGATTCTTATATTATTATTATCATTATTCAACTAGAATATAAGCTGTGTTTTCTTTGGTTGTACTTGTATCTAAGGTGGGTAGTTGGTTATGCGCTAAGGCAAAGTTCACTCCTTTACTTAGTACAGTGTGTTTGGATTCCATTAGTAATCACTTACTTAAGTTTATAACAGTGTTTTTAGGTTTCTGTAGCTTTAGGAAACTTCTTAGATTTAAAACAGAAATTGAGATGGCTGTCTAATTTAGCTAGCTTTAAATTAATTCATTCTAAATTCCTAATTGTTTTTAAATTATAGGGCTGTATCATGTCATTAAGTACTTATGGTAACATTGTGGTGATTGGATACCAATCATTGCAATGGTTAGCAGCCTACAGGATTACCAGTCTAATTACTAATTAGTTACTGATATATTTATTTAATTACTAACTGCCAATTACTCTAACAGCAAAACATCATTCTCATAATTTGTTATAAACTGACATCTATACAAATGTTTTAAAAGATAAAAAACAAAATTAAACTATTTCCTTCTCACCACAATTGTTTTACTAAGTTAATCACATAAAGGAAGCTTACTGCAGAAGTAAAAGAAAAGAAGAAGAAACAAATTATTTCAACAGTAAAAATGTAAAAGCTATGTAAAATAACTTAAAAACTGGTTTACTTGTATTGATTCTCAGTAAAGTTTTCTTTTCCTAAAGTTTCTTGCACCCAACCAGGAGCAAAGATAGCAGCTGATAAGTTGTAGTCTCCAATGAGCTTTAAAGGCTGAAAGATGATCATACATTTTATCCTACTATATTATAATGACACTGAATATTCTCATAGTAGGAAGTTATGAAAAAAATTATAATTCAAACAGATTAAAATTTTTCCAGAATAACAAAAACTTTACTGTTTAAATTTTCTACAAGTAGCTTCTTCAAGAAAAACAGCAGCATAAAACAAACAAAATTGGGTCATAATATCTTATGGTTAATTAAAACTTTTTTGGTAATTAGGTTGTAAAACTTGTACAAATTTCAAGTTTTGCAAAATCTTGTAGACAAACAGATTCAAAAACTTACACATTTCTAATGTTTTTATTTTTAGACAAACAAATTATTAGTTTTACATAAAGCTAATGCTCAACAGATAACAGATGTACACAAAACACACACTTTTAAGAAGACAGATTTCAAATCTAGATCTTTGCTTTTCATTCAGGAACACTTGTAATGATACAGTTTAACCATTTTCCATATCTATATGTGATATTTGAAAAACTCTACACTGATCTTGTATTTTAAACAGAAAACAAGTATTCAGAACCACACAAATTTCTTGTTATATTCTGAAGCAGTTTTATGCCTGGCTAATGCATATGAACAATAAAAAATGGGAAACAAAAGTAAAGATCCATTTATGGCTCTGAACAGTGAATGATCTAAGGGCCTAACCCAAAGGCACTAAACAATGAACAGTCAATACCAAGGGCTCAAACACCATGCATGAACCATGTAAAAGTAAACAGTAAGTTATTACTTAATACATAAATTAAATCAAGCTCCACAAACCAACAGCTATGATGTAACACACTTGAGTTGCTTTGTCAAGTATTATGAGGTTTTTGTACATACATCACAAGAACTGCTTGCATGTTAGTCATCTAAGCCAATGAGTCAACAGATAGTAAAAGTAAAATATTACTATAAACAGTGAAGATTTTATAAAATACTGCAAAAATACAGAATAATTATGTTTAGTATGGGATCTAAAAATTTCATAAGAAAAATAAAGTACAGAACAACTAAAACCAAGAAAATACTAATACCTTTAAACAATAAAGGATCGAAAAGAATATTTAGAAGTGGTTAGAGTAGTTATGAAAAATCAAGAAAATAAAGTCACAGAACAGAGATTATTGCTGAAGAATGAAAGATACACAAACAGAAGTTACAAATAGTGAGAGATACAAAATGAAGCCAAAGAATAAATGACCAAAGTAAGAAACTACAATCAAGGAACAAGGTGACTATAAGGATGAAAGCATTTAAAAATTGAAGCCATATGTCAGAGTGTAGCTAAGAGTATTAAAGTTTTAAGATACTGAAACTAAAAACAAAGTATGACTAACAGTGCTTAAGAATTTCAAATTTGAAATAAAAGAGTGTGTACATAAATGGCTAAGTAGAACAAAACTGAATTCAAAAGTCAGAGTGACTAGAAAAAATAAAGGATTAGAAATGACTATGAACATAATAATAGCAAAGAACAAAAATTTAGAAACTGTAATCAGAGTACTTATAAGAAGTAAATGATCTAAAAACTGGAGCTAGAAAATAAAAAGGTGATTAAGAATATTTATGAATCTACAAATTACCTTCAGGGAAAAGAAATTGGCAATGAACACTGAAGAAATCAGAAAACAACAAGAGGTCAATGAGTAGCTACAACACTGAAGGATCTACAAACTCAAAATTGTGCTACAGTATAAAAAATATTATGAACAATGAAAGATCTAGAAACTTGTACAAATGTCAGTATCTGGCTAAGAAAGTAGTCAATGATCTGAAAACTACAGTGTCTACGAACAATAAAGGATTTGGCTATCCTGTTTAACCCCTTCATGGCGGACTTATGCAATTTGTGGAAATTGAGTCATGAATTTCACTTGTACAACAATACATGTCGTAACTCTGAGATTTCTTAACATATCCTCTCAAAAACTGGTAAAATTTTGTTAAAGATCATAAGTATCTTGTACAAAAATAATGATAGTTTTATAATTAAGTGTTTCTACTAAAAATGTTATTTTTCTATTGTAGTTACTCATATTCAAACTATTAACAAATTGAGTACAAGGTGATTTTCATTTTTAGTATAAAAATACTTTTTTTCATCTTATAGTTTCATATTTCATTTCCATAATCTCTAGAACCTCCAAAAAGGATATCAACAGTTTTTGTAAGGTAAATGTATATAGTACCTTTTAATTTTCACATATGCTTAATTTTTAATGTTGTTTTTCCTTTCTTGTCTTTTACCACTTATTAGTCATCTCAACATAAGTCAACGGTGCCCTCGAGTGAGGCATATTACAGTTTCTTTGAGAGACATGTACAACCATTCAGTAAAATTTTCGTGCAGTGCATAATATCCTAAGCCTTGAGAATGGACTCAAAGTATGATTTAAAAAATGTTTAAACCTTTCAGTTATGCATTTTAAAACATAACTAACAGATAATTAACTAAAATACAATAACAAGACCTAAATACAATTTCAATTGTATCCCTAACTATAACATATTTTGGTAAGAAACTACCAGAAGTGCTATAGTCTATCAAGTAGCCAATCATACTGTAGTCAATTTCATATAATCTGTGATGACAACTGCACACCAATTTCAAAATAACTGTTTATTTATAGTGTAAAATGACCTCTTTCTAATGACTATACACATGTTATGTATACATCTATATGTAGGCTATAAAGCACAAACAAATCTGTTGAAGGTGGGCATGGCAGCTGTCAGGGGTTGAAAAAATTAATTACTTGTTTCAACTGTATTTATTCAGAGTACTTTGAAATGAGTGAGTCAAAAAGTTATGTAAGCAACTTATTGTCTAGACAAACCTCTACTCAAGTACCATTATATTATTGAAGATACAGAGAGTCAAAGTAGAGAATTTTCATTGCTCGTTGGTCACGTCTGAAGTTTTAAGCAGTTTTTTACAGGTTTATTTTGAAATAAAGGACTTAAAATTTGGATAAAATAAAACTTCAAATCATAACACACATTATAATATTAATTTCATTCACATACATTGATATTAAAGGTGTTTAATTAAATTTTGAATGTAACACAGTGACTTGCACAGAAAAGCATTTAAAAAGGCTACCCTTGCAAAAGGGTTAAGAATAGAAGGTGGTTATATAAACAGTGATATGTCTAAAAACTGAAATACAATGTCTGAATACTTTTGAATAGTGAAGGATTTTAAAAGAAGAAAATGAATTAAGAAAACCAATGGATCTAGAAATTGATGTCAGGATAAAGAGAGAAATGAGATAAACAGAATCAATTTTACGTATGATGTTTACAGATGTCTTACTGGTACAATGGTCTATTATACTATAATGTCATACATGATCATATAACATACACTCCACCCTACATGAAGTGTTGTCTTATTCCTTCGATTTTCCCTTGTCCAGGATTACCGATGAAGGGTGAAATTCCCATAAACAAGTATAATTTGGTAATAAGTGGTTAGTCAAATGATAGATTGAGCTTCATATATATTTTTCAGAAGTTATTTTACATATACAATAATAAAACTATGTTTTAGGTAAGTGTATCTTCTTATATCTTGAAGCCAGTTAGACAACAGAATTAAAACAGGGTAGTGACTTTTCATACCATTTCTCTTGGATCTGAAATTATGTTTATACCCCAAGCTAACATATTCATCAAGTATGAGCATAACTTTGTCATGGCTCAACTTAAAGCCTGAAACATTGCCTTGAAACCAAGAAAAATGGCAGAAGTCCACAGAAAACTAAGCTCACATGTTGAACACACTGCTTAAATTATTTAAAAAGAAACAAAAACATAAATCTGTTAGTGAAACTATTTTTGGAAAATTTTTATTTCATATTACTTTATTATAACTTTTTACCAGTAGTTATAATTATTTTTACTACTAGGGTATAGAGAATGGCTATAGAAAATGAGAGCAGAGAATAGTGACTACATACACTGAAGAATCTATATAATCCTCTCATAAAGCATAGATTGAGTATGAACATTGTACAATCTAGATATAAATGTAAAATACTGTCTATGAGCAGTGCAAGATCTAATAGTTAAAGATAAAAAAGTTATAAATAAAAGTGTTGCCACTCTGTTACTAAAAAATATCTGAAATGAGAGAAAAAAACAAGTGACGCAAAAAGTGTAACATTTGTGTCAATTTATAAACTAACTACTAATGTATGGAGAATTGTGACCATAAAATTTCTTGATGTCTAAAAAATTGATTAATAATTGTCTTTTGGTTCCAAGGAATGAGGAAAATATAAACACCTCATTGTATACAGTCCTCAATTCATTCCTGATCATGTATATTAAAACCACACTTTTTATTAACAATATATCATTACATGCAACATCTGAGAATGGTCTAATATTTTTGTATCAAAAACAAAATCACTTTTACAATATTTAATATTGACAAACAAAGGTACAAAAAATTACAAAACATAAAACAAAATGAAAAAAGTGTGAGAAATTACAGTTTAAAAAAATTAGAATTGGCAGCACTGAATGAATCAGGAAATTAGAAACTTAAGCTAAAAGGTCAAAGAGTGGTTATAAACAGAACCTAGAAACATTAGCTATAGATAAGAGGGGTTATTATGAATAGTGGAACATTTAAAACTTAGAGAGCAAAGGCATAATAAAACATATAAATAATTCAAGATCTAGAATCTACAAAAAAAAAGAACATAAAGTTGCTACAAACAATGATGTTTCCAAAAATCAAAGAACACAGTGACTTTGAACAGTGAATGATTTAGAAAATAAAAACAGAAAACAGAAACTGCATTATTATAAAATACCTAGAATATGAAGCCAGAGAAAGAGATTTATTATAATTAATGAATGATTTAAAAACCACAGAGTAACTATAAACAAAAAAACAGATATACAACAGAGTGAAATAACTAATAAAATATCTAACAACAACATCCATAGGTTCAAAGAAATAATGGGGCTATAAATAATGAATGAAATAGAATCTGTACTGAGATGAGAGATAGTTGTTTTAAGTTTAGATGGACCTAGAAAATGAAGCCAGAAAAGTAACTATGAAAAATGATAGTCTAGATATTAGTGTCAAAGAGAAGATTGTGTTTATGAATCATAAAAGATACTTGAGATGAATCCAGATAAAATTATGATGGGTATGCTGACTGAAAGATCTTGAAAATTAAACCAGACAAGAGTGTGCTTATGAACAACAGAGAGAATCTAGAAATTGCAATGAGAGGAAAGATTAGAAGTAAATGAGACACAACTAAAGATTAAAACCAGAAAAAAAAATGGCAATGGATATTGCTGAATAAAAATATTAATCCAAAGGGCAGCAAACATATCAAAATAGAACACAGAAAGAAAGAAAAACAACAGCTGACAATAGATAACTGAAAATTGTTTAAAGAACACTGAACTTCAAAAAATTAGGGTTAAAGTTACAATGTACAGCTTTTTACTAAACACAAGTGAAAATAAAATCAAATGCAAGTGAATAGCAAATTTTTGTGAAAGTGCATTAAGTAATAGGGAAGAATTTTTTTAATCTATTAGCATTTAAAAAAAAGGAAGGCAAAGTTATGGAAACACAAAACAACTAAAGATTTTACACTAAATATCTGGGAGTAAAAACTTCAAAGTAACTCATTTGTGTTAGATTAAAATCTGTTATAGTAAGAAACATATATCAGATTTTAAATTATACATAAGATATGAATAAGTGAATAACCTTAAAGAAAATTATTGAAACAATTCTGACTGAAGATAGCCACACCCAAGATTGCAGAATGGAAAAGCATTTCCAGTTCTAAAAGGTCTTTGGACAGTTGCCATTTGTCTGCAAAGGATGTGAACCTTTCTAAGGAAGGTGAGACTCTCTACCAAAACCAGAGTCCCCAAATAATAGGCTTCAAGGATCATAGAAATAAAAAAACATGGTAATGATGAACCGAACCTGCCAATCAAGGTAGAAAAACACATGGAGAGCAGATAAATATGATCAAGGGAAGAATTAAGTATTTCCAGGTCAGTTAAGAATATGAGTTGTAAAAAGCTGAGTTCTAAAAGCTTGACTGACAAGCCCACCTAGAAAGCCATATCTAGTATCAGTTACATTTACTGGAATGAAACTTTTACTAATTCTGCTAAAATAAGCCAGCCATTCATATGGTAATTAAAATCCACACAAAGATGGTGATACCGTATGGTAAACAAAAACTAAAAAAGAACCACAATGAATGGAAAAATGCATACATGAAGATATGTATTAGAGATGTCAAAAACATCAGCATCAAAAATTCAAGGTAACAACTTAAATTACTGAAAACCTTCAACTTGAAACACTGATAATTAAAAACTAATTGAGACCAAAGAGACTCATGATAGGTTTGTAGTTGTCTGTGTGTTTTGAGACAAGGAACAGAAAAGGATATGTACTGAATCACTTCAACACTCACAGTTATAAGATGGTTCAAGGCCTGATTCTAATTCTCTATGCCCACTAGAGCTGACAGCAAAAGAAATTGATGACACACCTAAGAATCAATAGCAAAAGTTCTCAAAGGGAAATGGCTCTTACTTCTCATTGCTAGAACCAAAGAAGTGGGACAGTTCTGGAAGATGTCAAACATTTGGTTGCATGTAGTAACAGGTAATAACGAAAACTGTTCCCACACTATATTAATCATATAACTATTGCAATTATCACAAAAAATGAAAAGAGAAATACACAACAGGTAAGATACGATTCAAAATCGAATAGAGAGCTTATTACAGGAAAATCTGTATGTGAAATAGAATCACCTTCCTCCAGTGACACTTAAAAAACAGGGAAAAGATGTGTGAAATGCCTTCAGCAAAAGACAGATCATATTCAATATTCCCTTTAAAATCCCTAGACATCAAGGGGAATGGAAAAAATTGCAAAGATGTGTGATCAATCATGAATATGCAACATTTACCTTGAGAAATTTCTAGAACAAATTTTGTTTCCAGGAGATAAGAAAAAAAAGTTTTCTCTAAAGAATATTTCTGATCAAATGGCAAGGTTAAAGGAAAGTCCTAATGTAAAGGATTATTGGAAACCCCAGAAATCAAAAAGGAAAGATAAAAGAAAATAGTGGTACTTATGAAAAAATGAACAACAATAAAAGTGGTAAATGACTTCATTAATTGTCATGGAAAATGGTAAGTAAAGTTTCCTAGATGAAAATAAAGCACGAGGCATAATGAAGACATTATTACTGCATAATCATGGATGAAAAGAGCATCTCTGAAGCTAACTCGTACTCCACTGCACATGCAAGTACAGGTAGAAGAAATTCCTTGCGAGTGAGTTGCATCTCAAATGAGCAGTTAGAGGTTTATGTATTAATTGTGCTTTATTTAAACTCAAGGCTACACGTAATGTTAAATGTATATATTTTAAGATAAAACATAACAACATGATAAAATTTAAGTACTGATATAGCATGTTGAAATGACAGTATCATATAATTTTATGATTTTATTATCCTGTGCTTAATCAATTTTGTTTTGTTTTTAATTCTGATTACCAGGTCTCAGCAACTAATGTAAACATGAAGCATATTAATTTTGCTATAATATACCAACTACTCTGAAAACAACTTTCTTTGTTACAAAACTGTGGTTCAACTGTAAAAAATAAAGACTAACAAGGTTCACTGAGCAGTTTTTCATTATTTATATTAAACCTTAAAATTAAATTAGAATTCCTCTAAACTTACTTCATCAATGTTGAAGCCACCACCTCCTAAAGTGCCCCGTCCAAAGACATCAACACCCATAAACACATCAGACTTTCTCAAGCCTGATTCTTGGCAGGTGTGATTTAAATTTTCTTCCTTCCAGGTGTAATTAACATAGATCCCATCACATGCTTCAAAAAAAATCCTATTGAAATAAATGTTGTTTACATTAATCTATTTTCAAATTCATTAAGTGTTATCACACTGAGCACCCCAAACAATTAAAACAGTACCAAGTTCCATAGTTTTTGAAAAACCTTGTCCAAGGGATAAAATGGTAGAAAAATCTACTTGTTTTTCTTGAAAACTTACTCAACCCTTGAGTAGAAAAGAATCATACATCTGCCCCAGTTTCAAGAATAATGGTAAGTCAGAGTGATGTATCACTTTAAATAATAACCCACACAGCCTCAGAAACAAATGGTAATATGAACCCTTTGCATTACTGGAAGCCTACAGTTATTATGAAGTCTGTTATAAAATGCCTTATGAGAGAGTTGGACACACCTTGTGTTATATTTATATAACATTATTTACATTTATATAATCTACTAGTGCACCAGTTTGGTATAGAAATGTGCTTTGTTTGTCAGTTTAATGAATTTTTTATACAAAGCTATTCAAGGACTATCTTTGCTAATTATCCCTAGTTTTGAAGTGATAGACTAGATGGAAAGCTGCTGTTCAACACCACTCACAACCAACTCTTGGGCTACTCTTGCCAAACTGAATAGTGAGATTTGAATGTCAATCATTTAATTCCTTTATGGCACTAAAGTTCGAAGCACGTTTGTTATGGAGGTTTTCAGCAGTAACAATGTGGAGGTGGGAAAGATACTTGGTGAGGCATCGCCAAACACTAGGTGACACCCTTAGTTCACTTCCAAAGAGCAAAACCCTTTCATGGAGCTCCAGCATGGAAGGTGGAGTGTGTGTTAATTCAGAGCCATATATGACTTGCAAGAGTCCCGACTATATATATATATTTTATATACATCAAACATACACACATTTAACAATATCACAATCCCAGACACCCCGAGATGTGTGATCAGGGTGTTGGGAGATCTAGCAATACCTTGGTTGTCCAGGACAAATGCACAAGTTAAGAAACATATGAGAGTCCTAACTGGATAAATTGGTATGCAAAGAGATACTCAATACAAAAGAAGATATTTTATTTAATTATTGTACCTTCTATATTTTGTATCATTTCTTAGGAAGGCTAAATTATTCACAATCCCAGAACCCCTGAAAATAGTTAACCACGGGTTTTGGACAAAAAATAAAAAAAACACATCAGAGACAGATTCCATCAAGCCTGGAGAAGAACTACAAGTGACAAATGAAATCATGTAACTGAAAATACAGTGATATGATAAGGCCAAAACAGGAAAAACATTGCACATTTGTCCCCTTGCCTGTTTATGTGATGGTCTCTAAATGCTACAGAGGCTAGGAGGCCAACGACATTGCCATATTTAAATATGATGAGATGTAGTGTGAAATCCATGCTTAATACAGTTGAGAACACCATTGGTTTGGGTATTTGTTTGTTTTTAAGCATAAAGCTACACAGTAAGCCATCTATCTGTATTCCATGGTATTGAAACCCGATTATCAGTGGTAGAAGCCATCCGATGTACAGTGGCAGCAATACAGGGGTACAAGGGGCAGGCATTTGCCCACCCAAATTGTTTTCTTGCCCCTAGTTTGCCCCCACCCCAAATATAATCCTGCATACATAGAGCAAATGCTATGTGTATGATAAGAAAACATGTTCACACACACAATACCATTTTATGGGATGTTTTTTTTTTCTTTTATACTAGAAGTCAACCAGATATATCATACAATACTAGATTATTCCCTAGAACTTTATTTTTATACTAATGGTACTACTGCACTAAATAATTATTTATTTATTTAATCCTATGGCACACCTAACATCCTTCTCATAATATTTCATTCCACAAGTAAAACTAGTGGATATAATTGTTTAAAATCTGACATGAACCTTTGTAAATGTGTGTAGTTTGAGAAAAATAAAATATTTAATTTTGATTTTTTCTATTATTTCTAATAAAAAAATTATTATGTAATGTAGTTATTTGCACTCACACTTTGAATAGTTCACCTGAAAAGTGATTTCTATATGAAGTATAAAAATACAATTTTTTACCTTACAGTTTACCTTACATTTTATTTGCATAATCTCTAGATCCTCATAAATCAATATTTAAAGTTTTTTTTAGGTAATTATTTATATTTATTTCCCATTTTCTCTACTATATCACTAACTATATCTATTATCATTGACATACAGTGCAATGAAATGTTTAAAATTAACAAATGGAAATATGTACATACCTTCATGTCTTTATCTTTTTTACTTATAGTTTATTTTTAATTTTCCTTTCAAATTCTTCATCTATTATCATTTATGCCCATACATTTTCTGATGCCCGCAGGGCTTTACCATGTTATTTCAGCAGACTCGCAGCAAAGACGCATTGCTGAAACAAGATAACTCTTACACACATCATCTTGTTTATAATCTTTGAAAACCAAAGCAATAAGTTAAACTTATAAAAATCTTTAAACTAAAATATAAATGTAAGACCTAAACACAGTTTAACTGTTTCTCTAACTATAGCATATTCAAGTAAGAAACCACCATACGTACTAGAGTCAAACAAACAGACAATGATACTAATGGCAGTTATGTCTACGTTGTGTATACTCTAAACTGAGCTCTTTCTAACAACTATATACACTTGGGTTAAGTAAGTACATGTGGTTTGTAAATCTGAAGGCAAAGTACACAAAGTGGGCATGGCACCCATCAAGGGTTATAAAATTTATAACTGTCTTCCCAAAAATCCACCTGCAGACTTTAGATCTGAAATGAGAATTAGGTCAACCATTTGACAGTGTAGAAATGTCTTTACATGCCAGTTTGTGTGCTTCAGAGAGAAACCATGCTAAAGTCCATATTTTTCAAAAAAAATGGATCATGTGACACGGAAACTGTAGTTAAAGTATTTTTTAAAGGTTTCCTTTGAAATAAAGTAACTAAAACTTAGATAACATAAACATTCAAATTATAATGTACAATACAATGTCAATTTCATATTCATATATTGATATTAAAGCAGCTTAATTGAATTCTGAAAGTAATGCAGTACATGTGCAGAAAGGAATTTAAAAATGGCACCAGGGGCAATAGGGTTAATTAAATAATGCTCAAAGTAACATGCAAAAAAGCAGAATACGTCTCAGAACTATCACAATTTTTCTAGCTTTCTATTTGTGCTACAAACATCATTAGAAATTAAGAAAAGCTGGTTGATATACTTCTTGTGAGAACAAAAGTAAAACTAAAACCAAAACTACATATTGTCTATTGAAAAAAAAAAGAAAGTAGAATAATACACTATTTCAAAGGTGGAATCCTTAGTTTTCTGTAGATAATACATAACTGAAAGTCAGAGAAAACTACTGGCAAGATCTGAAGAGGAGGATTGACAGGTGGGTATGGCAAGAGAGATCTGATTTTCTATTTGATAGCTTTGTAATTAATTAAGATTGAAGGTTATAAATATTTTGCTTTGCCTGAGCAATGACAATGTTATACTGACACAAAAGGGTTAAAAAGAGACCTAGGCCTACCTTTCTCAAAAATATTAATATATAAAGGTCTTGAACCTACATGTTTTTCTAACATCATGAATAAATAAAGGTCTTCAGACCAGTTTTGCAGTAAGCAACTGTGGCAAGCACAGGCGTGTTGTGTCCCAAGCTATCTTTGGCACTTTTACTTTGTGACTCAGTACTTGTTGGGAGGTTGTTCTGGAAGTTTGTAGATCATGAGGTCATGGGTATCTTTAAACAATACATTTTACCATTGTTAATTGTTCCATGAAGTTGGTGTTCTGCATACATGTGTAGACACATCAAATCTTTCTATTGAGAAAATGGATATCAGAAAATTTTACAAAAACCCGCATAAACCATAGGATTCCTAGGAAGATGAACCTATCAAGGAGACAGGAGGACGAAGTAAGAATGGGCAGTGTGGATACTTCTGATCAAGAACATGAAGATATAATGGGCAAACCCACTAGCATTGGAGAATTACATGAGCTGAGAAGCAGCAGTGAAAAAATTAACTTTGCCTATAACAAAGGCCGACAATGAACAAATTCCACCTGGTCTTAATGAGCCCTTCTGCTTTTCAAAGACTCATAGATGAAAATTCATACCTGAATGGTATGAAGCATATCCTTGGTTTGAATTTTCTGCATCTACTGACATAATTTACTGTTTTGTCTGTCATCATTTTACTACAGGTGCTAAATATCAAGGTGAACAAGCTTTTGTGCCTAAAGGGTTCAATACATGGAAAAAGTGAATGGGTGAAAATCCAAAAAACAATAAACTTCTCAAAGACAAGCAGGCTGATGCACATTTGAGTGATGAGTGCAAATATAATGCTTATTTACAATACAACCTTTCTGAGAGAACAGCAGTAGACCTCATTAATAAAGCTCACTAGCTGATTATGTAAAAAATAGGGAATACATCAAAATATTTGCAGATACATTAGGACTTACAGCTGTCCAAAACATAGCTCAGAGGGGTCATCATGAAATAGATACACCTGAAAATAAAGGAAACTTTTTGAAAATATTAAACTTCTTAAAGACTTATTCCCAGATCATAAATGAACAACTGCATAAAGGATCTAAAATGCCAAGTATATGGACCACAGTGTACAAGATGCCATTTTGGACATCCTTAGTGACATAATTTTGGATGAAATAAAAGAAGAAGTAAGAGAAGCTCAGTTGATGAAATTAAAGAGCTAAAAAAAAAGAGCAGATGAGTTTGGTACTTCAGTACTTTAATGATTCAGAAGTTTGTGAAGAATTTCTTGGTTTTAAAGTTGCTGATGAAATTGATGCAGAATCATTGGCCAAATATATTCTGGAGGAGTTAAAGAACAATGGACTTGATGTCACAAACCTGACTGGTCAAGGATATGATGGCACTACCATCATGAGTAATAAGTGCTCTGAGGTTCAGTAGAAAATAAGACAAATCATACCTCAAGCCATCTACATTCATTATTTTGCTCACCTT